CAGTGCTTTTGAAATGGAAGGAAATATAAAAACATAGATGGATTATTTACTGTATGCCTTGCTGTTTTCTTTTGAATACTATTAACATTATCTTTCTACTGCAAGTAGCAAGCACAGAGCCCTTACCAAAGTTTGTCAGCTAACTTGCTATAAAAAAAAATCTATAGAAAATTCCTAAATTTACAAGTGGTTTCCTATGCCCTGTACACTTTCTTCTTGATAGAACCAAAATAGCCTTAATAGGGACTGAAATAAACTCTGAGTTTCAAAAGGGCTATGTGCATACAGGAACGGTCCATTTCTGTGGCCATAAATGCCACTCACGTTCTAACGTTACAGCTAGGATTATGTGTGGGACTTAGGGAATTGCTCTGAAAGTCATAGGGCTTTGATGCTGGCAAAGCTACCATATGCAGCCTACCTTATTAGTTTTATGGGATTCAGGAAGGGTATGGAACAATATGCCTGGCACGTTGCTCCTCATTTGCCAGTTTAAGAACAGCTTGGGTGATTCCTGCTGTGAATTTGATATTAAGAAATAGTTTCCCAAGGACTGGGATGGAGATGGTAGATGCAGCACTCCCCATTTAGCACCCACGATGTACTATGTCAGACCCTCGCCAGGATGACTATCCTGGATTTCCAAATGCTGGTGAATGGGCTGCCTCATATGACCTTTTTGATTATTTTCATAGCGTACTGCTGCACTCACTATCCTTGATCTACTTCTTGAAGGTATGAGAAGACAATTTCATTATTTGAGTGATCATCTGGTCCTTTCTGGTTGTACGCTGGACCATTCCCAAGGGGCAAACTTAGATTTAGTAAAAGAACCTTCAACCATCTGATGATTTTGTAGGTAAATGCAATGATCCGAGAGTGGAATAGCACATTCCCTGAGACAAAAGAGAAGAAGGTCGATAGCAAGTAAAGGAAAAACCGTAAGGGAGGAGGGAAATCTTAAAGTTGATCATGACATTAAAAAATTGGGCCAAATCCGCAGCTGGTGTAAATGGGTGTCGCTCCATTGATGTTTATGGAGCCAGGTTGATTTACATCAAGTGGGGTTCTGATTATCTCAGTTGTTGAGACAGTGTATACATTAGATATGCAGCCATTTTTATCTTCAAAGAGTAAAACCAATAGCGTTAAGAATTACATTCATTCAGACAGTACATGTGTAGCATTTGATACCTTTGATGTCTTAAACTCTGGTTTTCAGAATTAAAATGTTAATCATAAAGTGCTTTACCATATTCAAAAAGATATGCATTACATATAGCCCTGGATTCATTACCCTCCACCTACTGGACCAAGATTGTGGCAAACCTTAAACTCATTGTGGTTTTCATTATTATTACAAAGCATTGCAATTCATACGGTCCTACCGAAGGGGAAGGGAGAGTGACTAATATCAAAAGCTGAAGCCCTCAATTTTATCCAGTAGAAAATGAACACAAAACATGGCTCTGTCATGAATATGCGCCACGAAGGCTGTTTCTCAGCTGTTAATTTTGGGAAAAAATCACCACCTCAATTTTCTGCCAGTGGGCAAACAAACCATTTTTTACACTTCAGCCCCAAGAGTTCCTCACACTCCACCAGATACAGTCAGTGATAGCCCATGTGCTATTTCAGTGCCATAGGGCCATTATTCAGTTTAGTTGCCCCTACTTTGATGTGCCCAGTCTGTTAACAATGGAATGTCTGACATCATCCCCACCATTGAGTCATGTCCTGTTCTTCTGCGGAGACCCCTGCCTCAGTGTCTGAGCCTCTGCTGCTTTCCTCTTCTCTTCTTCCTCTGCTTTCTTCCGCTCCTCCTTCAGCTCTTTGTATCTCCATTTGGGAATCTGTAGATAAGTGCCGTCTTTGGCACTGCTCTTCCTCCTCACTTTCTCTGGTTGGTAGGTGGGTGGAGGAGCCTTGTTGACACGCACTTTGGGGATGACAAATCCTGGTCTCACACTGCTCCTTCTCAGTAGGTGCAGTGGCAGGAGGCTTGCTTTCCTTGTGACCACAGTGTTCATGTGAGCTACTGTGAGGCTGAGGGGCTGCAGACTAGCCCGCCGGTCCTTCTTTTTGGGGATCAACATGACTCTGGAGTTCTGAAATAATTTCTCATAGCTGCTAACGTGGTCTTTGTCCTGAGATCGGATATCCTGGGCTCTTTGCTTCCTAAGGATTTCCTGCACAGCCAGTGTGCGTTTCCCCACGCAGGGTGGGCTCCCTGGGCACACAGTCCTGCAAGATATGGCAATAAAGGGGCTGTTTAAACTTGTAGTCATCCTAACCATGTGGTCAAGGACGCCATCTTCTTCAGGGCCACAGGAAGCCCTGAATGACATTGCTGACCTCACACCCTCCGAAATCCTCTGCAAACAGTTTTTTGGTTCTGCGGCCTTGGCAAGAAGTTCCTTCATCTTTGGCCATTCTGACTTATACTGGTCACAAAACTGCTCAGGGCATGGCCTGTCCATCAGCCTCTGCATGAGGAAGGCTGCTTCTGATCTTCCTGTGTAACAAGCCCATTCCCGTGGAGTCATTCCACGGCTTGGGTCAGTCGCGTGGACATCTGCCCCTTAAAGGAGAGAAAGGAAAAACATTTGCCTTTATCGGTTATACAGTGCACACTTCAACTCCCACTGCCATAATCAAAACTGAATGAAGCAGGGATCCTGTCAAGAAAAATAGTATGTGATTATGTAATTAAAGACTGTATCATAATGCACACACACAATTCTGGAATTTCCTGACTTTTGAGTGCTTGACTTTGCAACTTTATTGTTTTTAATGTAGTTTTCTTGTATATAAATTCCTATTTTTAAACAGCACACTGAAAATAAAAAACACAAAAATAAAACAAAAAACACCACACAACCCATGTGGAATCATACTGACCCCCCACGTTGGTCACAAATAGGACCGAAACCTTTAGATCCACAGCACAGACCTCTGTTCACTTGAGCTAATGGAGTAACTGGTAGCAATAGCAGACTGTTTTCCTAAATCTGGACCAGTCACTACTGAGTAAAGAGACATATAGCAATGGAAGAACCCCTTCTGTCTCTGTAGTAAATGTCTACACTACAGCAGTGCAGTTGTGCCACTGGAGCATTTCTGGTGTAGACATACCCTGAGTGACAAGGAGGAAGATGGTGCTGTTCACTGTGATAGATAAAGAAGGGAGAAGGGAGAAAGTGGGTGATAGATCAGAAGCTCAATTTTAGCCATGTTAAGTTTCAGCTGATGGCCAGACCCCACAAGGAGACGTCAGAAAGATAGGCCAAGATGTGGTTAGGATGGAGGGAGACAGGTTGCAAACAGAAGTAGATCTCTGAGGAATCTATATAAAGGTAATAGTTAAAGCCATGGTTGCAGAGAAGATCATCAGAGACAGGGTACAGAGCAAGAAGGGGAGGGGGCGAAAATGGAACTCTGTGGGACCCCACCAAAAGGAGAGGGAAGGAAGAGGAGGACCCACCAAATAAGACACCGCAGAAGCAGTCAGAGAAGCAGGAGCAGAAGCAGGGTAAGGACAATATTTTGAAAGCTAACAGAGGACAGGATTTCAAGAAGAATCTGGTTAACAGTAATAAGAGGTCAACAAGAATATGATAGAGTAGAGGCCATGATGTTTGGCCCTGGTCTACTCTTCATCTCCCCATCAGCCTGTCTGTCTCTGAGCCCCTATTCTCTTCCCCTACACCAGCCTCCTCTTCCTTCATCTTTCCCCCTCTCAGCCTGTCCCCTTAACCTGATTGTCCCTGGACCCCCAACCTTTCCTCAACCCCATCTGTGCCTGCACTCCTTCTCCTCTCCAACTTACGTAGGTCTCTCTAGGAGTATAGGAAATTGCATGGGAATTGTTTGTTTGTTGTGTTCATACAACATACATTTTAATAATAAGCCTAGGGTGGGAATGATTTATTACATAGGACAGGGCCCCCAACCATGTACTGTGGATTCTGAATGTGTTTAAACTGGCCCTGCGTTTTCAGATCAAGTTTGCTGATGGCCAACCTCCCACGCACACTTCCCCTCCACCCCCAAAACCACACACACACAAAAAACCAAAACATCAACAATTCCAGGGCAGATCGTCCAGCCAGACCCGATGCTAGGGGAGGTGGCTATTTCTGATATATGATTAAATAGGTTAACCAATTTGTGAGGCCATCTCCACTTGGATTTGTTTGCAAACAGCCAACAGGAACCCAAATGTGTTTGCCTCCAGATATATTCCAGATGTAGAATCATGGAAGAGCTGTGCTCTGTCTCGAAACCACAGTCAGATACACTGTTTCTTCTTACTCAGATACTTTTGTCCAAACTGATCAGAGACCATTTACAAGGGTCCATTGAGCTCACCATTCGTGCTGCCTCTTCTATGATTTCTGGTTCTATCAATACAAATTGACACATTCCCAGCTCTTTTTGGAGCTATATCTCACAAAAGAAATCTACCAAATACAGAAATCCAAATCTTTTAGCAGCATACTCAATGCTGATTTTATGTCTCATCTAATGAAATCTTGTTTGACACAAGATCTTTTTAAGATGCTAATGACTTACTTTGCAAATCCAGAAACATTCCTAAACAAATTCCTCATTCAACAAAATTTCTAGGGACTTTACCAATTGGATCAGATATCAATATTCAAGCCCTTTTTCAAAGGTTATGGCAGTCTTATTGAACTATTTGTCATTCAGATTTAAGGCTGGTCTAACAAGTCTTCTTTTAGAAAATGTGTGCATTGCCCTTAGTCCTCATTTTCTTCAGATTAAATCATGTCCCGAATCCTGTTTTTCAAGCAACTAATTTGAGTAGCTGTGTCACTTTGGGATATTAATATTATATTCAGTTAATGAGGTTTCATGTCTCAAGAGATTGTTATCCACAAAACTGACATCACTGCTGCCGTGTTTGTGCTGGGCCGCCAAAGCATCAGAGTTCCAATTAATCAGAATTTCAGACCTCTGAATAAAAATGCCCAGGGTACTATGAATTTTTTTTTCATTAAAATCCAGTTGTAAGTCTTACATTTCCTGCATTGCTCCTTTATCCTATCTGATTAGTGACAGAATAGACAAACAACTATGGGTTTCTTCTCAATGTATGCAAGTCTGTTAATAAGAAGTAGGATCTAAAATTCTGGTTAAATCTGCATCTCTTTTAAAAAATACCGGCCCCACTAAATAAAGCAGCATCAGGACTTTAATTAAATGGAATTCTCAAGGAAAACTGCACCCATTTTGCTCAGTTTAGTAATATGAGAGTGCTAGCGTAAGTAGAACTCTAGTCAGGTCAACTCTGAAGCTCTCAGCCAGGCAACACTTTCACTTTCAGGGTTTGGCCCTGTGGCCATACACGATGAAATGTATTATTTAAGGTCCAGATTCTGCTCTGTTATACCAGTATAAATCCGCAGCAGCTCCAATGGTTTCACTGGAGTAGCACTATCTGGCCCTCCATTTTTAATCACAATTGGCATTTCTGCATGTCTTCTGCTGGAGGTGGTTATCTTGCTAAGAAGTGATATCAGTTGTGACCTTGGCAGTGTAGCAGCCCAAAGGAAGTAACTGCAGAACGGTAATTAACCTGCTTTACCATTCATTTTACATTCCAAAAAGTACATTCACATTTTTTAAAGATTAAACATTATGGCCAAGATTTTCCAAAGTGACTAGTGACTGTGGCTGCCTCAGTATTTTGGTTCACAACCTGAACACCCCGACTTTCAGAAAGAACAGCCACTCTGAAAATCGGCCTCCAATCATTCATCAAATTTTTCCCTTCAGTTTCCCCGATGCGACTTCTATACCCAGTACTAAAGCAGGTTGGAAACTTGGTTAGTCTCCAGTACTGAGCTCTTGCATTGCCAGTGTCACAGGTAATAATACACTAATAATATCACTAATACATGTACACAGTAAATACCTTCTGGTCATGATTTACAGCAGAAATTACTCCATAGTGCTTTGATCATCCTCATTATAAGGTTGGCTGTCACAGGGCGAAAGATCCCTTTAAGAGGAAGCAGGGTTCAGGGCACATGGAATGATTACCTGCTGTCCAGTTGGGCTTAAGGGAAGGCACCTGGGCCTTATAAAGAGGGAGACGGCTGCAGGTACAGGTTGGCAGATGCTGTAGACACAGCATGGCATAAGGCTGCTGCAGGGCCCTGAGTCCTGCAGGAAGACACCATCAGGAAAGCCTGTGGAGAAGGCCATACTCCAAACAACAGGTGCTAGGAGAGGAGGAAAACAGACCCTCAGAGAGGAAGGCTGTGCCCATCTTGGAACTGGAGCAGAAGAGTGTTTGAAGTCTGAAGGGAAGCCAGACCCTCAGGGAGGAGGAGCTGTGACCATCTGAACCTGGGATGAAGACTTTGTAGGTTTAAGTTCTATTTTGAAAAACTTTGTGCAGGACTTAATAAATTGGCCCCGGGGAGGGGAATGAATATCTGTACTGTGAGGACTTTTTGAGGGGCCTGAGTGAAGAGGAAACTGAGGCAGCCCTCAGCAAAGCCACACTTGGCCAGCAGTGGGCACTACAGGGCAGGCACCCATTTACATTGGCATACTGGGCTATAATCTACAGGCAGTGGTTTTCAACCAGGGGTACACAGAGGTTTTCCAGGCGGTACATTAAGTCATCTAAATATTTGCCTAGTTTTACAACAGGCCACATAAAAAGCACTAGCAAAGTCAGTACAAACTAAAATTCCATATAGACAATGACTTGTTTATACTGCTCTATATACTGAAATGTAAGTACAATATTTATATTCCAATTACATTATTTTATAATGATATTATAAAATGAGAAAATAAGCAATTTTTCAGTAATAGGTTGCCTATACACTTGTATTTTTATGTCTGATTTTGTAAGCAAGTAGTTTTTAAGTGAGGTGAAACTTGGGGGTACGTAAGACAAATCAGACTCCTGCAAGGGGTACAGTAGTCAGGAAAGGTTGAGAGTCACTGATCTGCAGTATTCTGTACGGGGAATTCCACTAGCATCAGAAACTTCACCCTTCTGTCCTGCAGTGGGTCTAGTGGTAAACTCTTTCTCACTCACATATACACGTGCACATAGGGGACATGTCACCATACCAACAACATCCTTTGAAGCAATGATACCACTTTAGTCCTATGGGGCAGAGGGGAAAGGGAAAGTCATGATAATAAAGCAAACATGGAAAATCATGGAATCCACGGCTTTGAAGAACGCCATCACAAAATTTCTTACAATTGTTTTCTGATTACTTACTTGCTTACTATTCAGCATGACTAGCAAGCTTCAGGATTTACAATGCACTACATCTAAGCATAGCTGAAATTGCCAGTCTAAAAACCTCACAACACTGGACTTAATGATGTAAATACATCTCAGTAATTTAAGTGTGGGGAAGGGGGGGAGGGGAGGGGAAGGGATCGGTCAGAGGAAGATCTTAAAGCTTCCTGGCTTTCAAATGTTTGAAAACTTCAATGGTCCTTTAACATAAGCTACTTGTAAAACTATTCTTAAACAGTTGGAAAGTATGGAAATGCAGAGCTAAGGTACCCAAATCATTA